ATGAACTCTTCTGGACCTCATTCTACCAGAAAAGAACCTAAACCCCAGACGAGATCAGTCGAGACGGAGACTGTGCCCCAGACAAGCGTGGAAGCCACTCTGCAGTCAGATGTCAAACTGGAACAACTGGTCTTGTTACCAAGGTAACAGCTACTGCAGGACCGTATGTATATGGAAAGCGAAATACTTGAATACTATTTTCTTTTAACACGTTCAAAGCAAAGTACCTCATGAAAAAAGTTGTCTGCGGATATGTCAGTTGCTGTGGTATTTCATGATAAAGGAATGAAGTCAAAAGTTCCAAAAACTCTCACTTTCAAAACAAAGCTAAGGGCGCTCAGTCCATTTGTCAGAACTGGCCGGCCGCACCATTGCCGGACCAGTCAGTTTGAAAATGAAATGGCCTTTTCAAGAATTTTTGTGGAAAAACCATCTTTTTCGTGCACACTATTCAGGATTTGACTGATCTGGCTGGATAGTTTTGATTAAAAGTGAAATCCTTGTTACGACGGGAAAGTGCTGGCCGCTCAGTTTTGACAAATGGAAACACCCTAAGGGTTTTATTTCAGTGCATGGGAATAAAATCTCATTTTCATATCAGTGACTTCACACATAGCCTCGCTTTGAAACAGAGGCTTGGGCAACTCGAAAATGGCCTTTTACAGGTCTTACACACTCTCAAACTATACCTTAAGCATCATTTTTTTAAGTAGATTGTCTCTATGATGTACTGCTTTATAAAATTCAGCATTTATTGCTAACAATACATTTTTCAATTGCTCCAATGTGGACTAATTCTGAATTCAACTTTGACTGCTTGCAGTCCGCCTTTTCCCTTACAATCCTTCCAGTTCTTATCCCAGTCAGGGCAATTGCAAACGACGTTGCACCCTCACGTGCATGGGTTACGAGTATAGTTAATTTGCAATGAACACACAGACTACACAAGATCTTTTAAAGACTGCGATATAAGTTTAAACACTTTTTTTTTTTCCAAAAAACATATTTTTTACGTGTTGTCTCCTTCGTTGGCCTTCAAGAAATAATGAATTTTTGTTCTTTTTTGTAACATCATTTATTTACAAATCGGAGAATAAAAGAATTAGACTATGCGCAGTCTCTCTTTTTTCTTGGTCCGTGACTGCTCGCAGTCTATAAAAGAATAAAAATAAGTGACATTCGAAAGAAAAGAAACCCAATAGGTTAACTAAATAAGTGAAATACAAAAGGCAGGGGCTGGACTTACAAGCACGTGGCCTGCTGGGACCCACACCCCTGAAATATAATTTTCTTTTTTTTAGACGCGAAGCGACCCAAGCTAAGAAAGAGGCTGAAAGTCAAGGAGATGTGGTACAAGCATTAAGAAGGGATCTGGCGGGTGCTGCAGCACGCATGTCTGACATGGCCGGCGAGTTAAGCGATAAACAGAAACAGAAACTGGAACAATACGAGGAGAGGAAACTAGAGCAAGACACTGAGCTGGAAGAACAAAGAAAACAGCTCGTGCAGCTGTCTGCATTGGTGGATGAACAGCAAAAGGAGATTAACTCCAGGGAAGACAAACTTAGTGAACAACAAAAGGTATGTGACGTTTGTAAGATATGTAACTCTATTGCTAAGAGACTTCATTGGTGGTGATGTAAGACCATGAATAACCCACATATTATTATGTTTAAAATATCTTGTGTGCTGTCCAGATCAGGATAATATGATTCAAGATCACTCGGGTTGCCAACCGCCGCTTAATTAGCTCGGTTGGCTTAACGACGGTCTGCCGAGCGGGACGTGGCGGGTTCAAACCCCGGCCGGACCGACACTTGTGGTGGTCGTCAAATAACTGAAGAGAAAGTGCTGCCTTTGTTATGTCATTTGCAAAAGGATAAGGAGAAAAAACCGTTTGCTGTGTATGGCAGCAGCCTTTGTTCACATGAAAACTGTGGGACGTTTTTTTATTGTTCATCACATTTACCGTACTACAGGAAAAAACGTTTAAACTGAATTAATCGTTGAATTACTACAGTGCAAAAGAAATAAAGCAGTACAACAACGTAATTTAATTAATATAAAGTTAACTTAAATTTTGTTTTTTTTGTCATGAAAACTGTGGGACGTTAAAGAACCCACACATAAAAGTGCATTAGAATCTGAAAAGTAAACTTGTTGTGAGGAGCAAAACGAAAGGTAACAGTAAAATAAAAAGCGGGCAAATCCCGTAACAGCCGCGTAGATAACGTTGTCTCTCCCCAGTCTTTGCCCGTCCTTTTTTCACCGTAGTTTTTCTATTCGATCGTTGCAACTCAACTGAGAGCCTGAGACTGGTGTTTATAACTGTTCCTAGGCGTTAGTAAGGCAAAAGCGGGACACGGTCAAGAAGGGAACTGAACTGGTTGAATACAAAGAACAACTGGCCACAAAAATTGACGAGCAGGAGGAGAAGATCAAGATGATTGAGAAAGAGGTGACAATATTCAGTATTCAATACGTGTTACATCGTGATAATTATATTTTCGTTTCACTAATATGATTACAGTTAACGTAAAATCAAGCTTTCAGTACTTGAGGTTTTAGCATTGATTAAACATTGCACCTTTTATTCCAGGTAGTCCGTACATTCTTGTTTAGTTACTTTTATAAAAATGTCTGGCTTAGTGCTTTGTGCCTGCGACCTTTCATGCAAAGGTCACAGAAGCTTTGATTAAATTCGCTTCACCAATAAATCACGTGAAAACTTCTAAATATCTCCGATGTTATTAGAAATACAGTTTTTTCAAATCTACATTTATCCATTTAATTCTTTCTTTTCCATGTCAGTCTACTTCGGACTTCGAGTTCCTGTCTGTTGGAATTTCTGTCTAGCTTGTCACGCAACGTGAAGCTCCAATTTTGTCACGCACCTTAGTTAATTCACCATCAGTTCAATTGCGCTAAAGTCAAGTTTAATCTTTTTTACCAGTTATTTGGTTTTCTCTACAGAATCTCATGACGGGTGAATTACACGCTCTTGGACTGCGATGTCGAGGAGAGAGACATGAGCTAGTGATAGCGAGGCAAAAAGAGGCTCTGGCAGAACTCAGAGGCCGAACAAAAACACTGGAGCAATTTAAACCACCACGTAAGTCTTGAAAGTAAATCTGTCTTACATGATAGACTGACGTCTTTGATCGCAAGGCCTAAATAAGAGCTTTGACGAAATCCACATGGATAAAAAATATACATAGCTTTTTATAAAACTTGAGCGCAATCGCATTACATTCATTCTCCAGTCTGTTTCAAGTGACAAAAGAGCAGAAGATTTGGAGTGAAAATTATGCGAAAGGCGTCTCCTATTTTCTTTTGTTGTCACGTGAAATGGGAGATGTCTGCACGCAAACTATGTCTCCACTTTTCGGGAAAAAACTCTTGGGTAATACGCTTGGTTGCGTACAAACCTTGTCAGTAGCCTGATCAAGGCCACCGCCCTCTTTCCCAGATCGCGCGCCGTCTTATTTTCGCTTGGCTTGTGTTTACTTGGCGAGGTCCCTACATACTGAGAACCTGGCACAGTCTTCCTTGACGGTGGTTGAAGCATGAATGTCGCGAAAAAATTTTAAAAAAAGAAGTGATACGCAGCTGGGGCTAACCAGGCAATGATCTCCACCTTAAGTCCCTTTTACACAGGCAATTTAAAATCGGGCCTAAACTTGAAACTTTTATCTTGCCTTCAGCCTGCGTTTCAAGCGTTTTCTACAGCTATGTTCGATTTCACAAAAAAGTTGGAGGAGTTCCTATCTCTACTCTCCCCAATTTTCCTCTGTCATGAAATTAATGATGGCAGCCGCAGCAATACGATCATAAACAAGCAGCCTTTGCCCACTCTAAAAATTCGTCTGCATCGCAATTTAGACAACGGTTGGCTTTATATACTAATAGGTCATTTCTGTGTTCCACAGATGAAACCTCACTTTTAAAATGCGGCCAAATTGCAAAACCTTTTTCGTGAAAATGGGTTTCATTTGCATTAAAAGTTATTTTCATATTAAAACCTTCGCACTAACGTTCGTTTGCAAAGATAGGTAACTTGGAAATGGTCTACCGTGTGGCACGAAATTTGCGGGTTCTAATTTTTGCGATTTTTGCGGGTTTTTTTTTTTCAGCGTTCCACCAAAAACAAAAATTACCGCAAAAATTTACTCCAGAGTAAATATTCTCTAACTTAAATTGGCTACACAAAAATACAGTACTTAGAAATCGTGTCTGTTCAATTACAACTTATCTCTTTCGTTCAGAAACAAAGCGGTTTACAATGAAATACTGACGTGCACTGTAGTATTGTTTGAAAATATGCATTTCTATTGCACGTACTCAATAAAAACGAAAATATTTTCAATGCTGGGTATTGGGTACTTTCTGAAAATCGCAAAAATTACTTCCCAGCATGAAAAACCAATTTGTCCTAATGGCAAAAATTAGTTCCCGCAAAACGCAAAAATCGCCAATCCGCAAAAATAAACTCCCGCAAAAACTTCGTGCCACACGGTATCTATTTCTGGCCCGTAAGCTAGGCTTCGCCCGGGACTCGTTACGTGTAATACACGTATTTCTAGTTGATAAGATGGGGTTTTTTTTGTTATGGTAGCTCCAAATCATGAACAAGCTTTACAGCAGATTGTGGCTCTCAAAAAGGAAGTCAGTGAACTAAGGGCGAAGCTGGCCTCCCAAGAAGAGGACTACCACAAAAGCGAAAGCGAAATGCATGCTGAGGTAACAGACGTAACAGTGTGATGCTCTTCTAATTCATGGAGTTCTGCGCTTGCGTTTCTTCTTGACTTCATATTAAAAAGCGACGTCCTTTTGGCGCGTCACGTGTTGTGTCAGGAAGGATTGCGTGACAAAGGGTCCCGTGGTCATAGCGGACTACGCGTCGTCCCTGGTTATTTTCTTAGGGAATAGTAAAGGAAGCCAATTACTCAAGCGCGCGAAAATCACGACCCGGGTGTCGCCTTCTGCGCGGGTGGCGATTTTCACACGCGCTCGCGTTATTCGCTTGCTGTACTATTCCTGAGTACATTTGAATATCAGTGTGGCAGGCGAAGGGGTAGGAAAAGGGAGGTTTCCCCCCCCCCCCTCCCCCTCTCCCTCCCCTTCTTGTGCCTGTCACGCAGGCTGTCACTGAGAAGAATGATGGGCTACTCGTAGTCCACCCTAGTCAGGTCGTTTGTAGAGTGAGTCCTTGCTGTTATTTGCCCTCTATACTTTCACAAGACTTTGTTGTATGACAAAAATAATCATTTTTGCTCACTTGAAAGAGTTCAAGTATGATCTACCAAACTGAAGAGGCTGAAAATAGGCTTAAAACTGTTTAAGAGTGTGTCATAGATCCTTCTTCCCCATTTTATTTCAATAATTTAATATTCTGCGAATGAACGTTTACATGTTGAAATGCTATAGCGTGCTCTCCATGCCGTGATAGTCTTTAGTGAAATGCCTTATATTTCTTTCCTTGTAACAGCTTAGAGCTCGTCGTGAGCAGGCTTCTGCCAGTCTCGCTGAAACCGATTTGGAAAAAGGCGCTCACCAGCAAACAAAGGAAGCATTAGATCTCAGTGAAAAGACGGTGAGTTGATTTTAATATAAACACGAAAAAATTAGTGAGGAGTATAAGAGCTTGAGCAAAAGCGTTTTTGAGCGACCGAAATTAATGGCTTGACGCTAATAAATGTACGCTCCGGTCATCATTCGCCGCTCAAAAACGCCTTGGCATGAGCGCCTTATTGGCAGCTTTTTGCAGAAGTAAATACAAAGACGGGGTAATCTGTCAAGAGTGCCTTACTGCAAATAGTTCATATGCTATGTTATAATGTAAAGGTGAAATATGGTCTTTCATGAAAACTGATTCAACTTTCAGTGTCAGTTGATAGAAGATAGTGTTGGTTCATCTTTTTTTCCAGAGTAAACGAAACTAAAAGATACCTTTTTCCTTCCATGAAAAGGAAGAACGAAAAAGGAAATGAATCGTCAAGATTACTACTGTCCTTCACGCACGTTTTTGTGCGCACGCCAGTAGTACCCTCTACCGTTCCCTTTCGAACGCCTGGCACGGTACCAAACGCTGTTCGGAAAATTAGCCCGCGCTCCTCTGGGAGGACTGAGAGAGCAGCAGAAATCGAGTCCATTACTTCGGAGGCTGCTGCAAGACTATTCTTGCGTCGTTTTATTTGAGCACGGCACTCCTCTGGCCTTCAAACACGCAAAGAAACAAGTTATTTCAGTTGCGTAAGTCGTTATTTTTCCTGGCGTTTTTTAACTGTAACTGCTTTTTCTTGTTGCAGTATCTCAAGTTGGCTCTAACACTCGGTGCACTGCTTGAAATAGACTCGTTACCAGGTTGTCGCTCAATAGCGCACCTCCCAGTAGAGGAAAGTGAGAGACTGGAACTAGACAGGACCAAGGTAATTTGAGTTTCAATTCCTGCTTAAAAATACGACCTGTGTATGCTGTTACATGTACATGTGTCTTTGTTTTACAACGGTAGAATAAAAGTACTGAAGATACCACTGTTCCAAGCGTGTGATAAAAACCAATTGACGTAACATGCCCCGAACCTCTGCGATATATTTTGGGAGATCATTTCAGTTCCACTAGGCCAACAGAAAAGAGATATTGAAGTTGAATTTCTTAGATGAAAGTTATTTTCCTTAACCCATTCGCAGAAGAACAAACACACAAGTCAACATATTGTAATTAGGTGATTCATTGTTTTTCTTCGTCTATTTCCTGAGTGACGGGATAGTTAATTGTTTTGCTTTAGTTTTGTTTCATGTCTGAGCTCCCTTCTTTTGTACCCATTCTTTTGAGTGATTTCTATGAAGTTTTAATTTTTCCTTTAATTTATTTCTCTTTGAATATCAGGCTGTGGAGCTGATGGTCACTAAAGTTCAACAGATGAACGATCGAATGGAAAGAAAAGTCCAGCTTCTGGGTTCTTATGAAGATGGCTTGATGCATCTAAGGTAAAGAGACAAGAAACAAAATAAGTAAATAAATAAATAAATGCACTTTATTTGAGTGTCAATGTATTTAGAACGAAAGTACCAACTGGGGACACTATTTTTACGTCTCCTACTGGAGACTGGACCGCCACTTTACTTTGTCATCCGAGCCACCCGACGGTGTAGCCGCTCGCACTGCAAAGGGAGTCCCTTCATTTCTTAGTCAATTTAAGACCCTGAGTGTTCGTCCGGTCTCAGGNTGCGATATATTTTGGGAGATCATTTCAGTTCCACTAGGCCAACAGAAAAGAGATATTGAAGTTGAATTTCTTAGATGAAAGTTATTTTCCTTAACCCATTCGCAGAAGAACAAACACACAAGTCAACATATTGTAATTAGGTGATTCATTGTTTTTCTTCGTCTATTTCCTGAGTGACGGGATAGTTAATTGTTTTGCTTTAGTTTTGTTTCATGTCTGAGCTCCCTTCTTTTGTACCCATTCTTTTGAGTGATTTCTATGAAGTTTTAATTTTTCCTTTAATTTATTTCTCTTTGAATATCAGGCTGTGGAGCTGATGGTCACTAAAGTTCAACAGATGAACGATCGAATGGAAAGAAAAGTCCAGCTTCTGGGTTCTTATGAAGATGGCTTGATGCATCTAAGGTAAAGAGACAAGAAACAAAATAAGTAAATAAATAAATAAATGCACTTTATTTGAGTGTCAATGTATTTAGAACGAAAGTACCAACTGGGGACACTATTTTTACGTCTCCTACTGGAGACTGGACCGCCACTTTACTTTGTCATCCGAGCCACCCGACGGTGTAGCCGCTCGCACTGCAAAGGGAGTCCCTTCATTTCTTAGTCAATTTAAGACCCTGAGTGTTCGTCCGGTCTCAGGAATCGATCCCGCGACGACCGCGACCTCCCGCTCTGCAGCCAAGCACTCTACCGACTGAGCTAATCCTGCTGCGGTTATAAAATGTCTTATAAAAGAATGCTTTTAATTTTACATCACCTTAGACCGTTCACAGTCCCCTATTTTTGGTAAGATCTTAAGGGTCGAGCTCTTACCGGTACGGGCGACTATCTGGGTCTCATATGTACCGAGGGGGCGGGCTTAGGGGTCCCCGCCCTTTAAGTAGATTTCACGCTGATCCCAAGGCTGGACTCGGAACAATTTAAACCAAGATGGCCGCCTGATCTCGACGATTTTACGAAAAAATAGTTGACTGTTAACAGTCTAACATCACACAATTGTTCTGGAACGCTAAAACCAGGCAAATATCCTGAATTAATCCGTGATCAATTCCATAATTCTTATCGCCTATGTCTTATAATGGTCTCGGTTATAAAAGAAGAATTTCAAACGATAAAAACAAAGCTCCTGTTACAGCTTGTCGTCATGGCCTCGTTCTTCTATTTTCCTTGATTTATAGACTGTTCATAGACCCCTATTTTTCAGTAGGGTCGTCGAGATCGTGTACTTACCCTTGGGGGCATCCAGCTTGGTTTCAATTGTATTGGGTCTGGCCTGGGGATTTCCTTTGAGTAACAAATCTACTTAGGAGGCGGGGGAAAGTTTGGGAGGAGACAAGAAAAATTAGTATTTTTCTCCCCTACCTCCCACCACCGCTAAAACTCCCGACACCCGACCCTCGGTACATTCGAAACCAAGATGGTCGCCAGTAACGGACTCGTAATGATAAGTGCTCGGTCTAATAAATAGATGGAAAAAGTGAGGATTTTTGTGGTCGAATTACACGAACTATTTTGTACTTCGTTTCAGAAATAGTGAGACAGTGGCAGGACAGAAAACGGCTGAAGCTACAGGACTTAAGGTTGGCGTGTTGCTCGGATATTGTTAATTGCAGTTGTGTAGAACGTGTCCCTCTCTTCAATATAAGATGATGTAACATCTGTTTGTACCCCAGCCCTTAGCCTTCGTAACTGGCGGGATTAGCGGGAGTGCTGTAGTTTTTTGCCGGTGGAGCCGCGTGAAGATTAAGAACTAGCTCGTGAAAATCCCCAGCGGCTTTACCGTTCGCTTCGCCAATAAATTACCCCGGACACAAGCATCCCGCCAGCAACGCAGGCTACCGCATCCCTCTCTAATAACTTTGTAGGAAGAGAAGGCTAAATAATGGGATCGTTACCTAACCTAAAAACTCTTTGTTTACGACTGTTTTCATTAAGGCTCTTACTGACATAGGACTTAAGCGTTAAGCTGTGAAGTTATTGCCATAAAGTCTGTAAAGGGTCATAAGGAAGTGGATTGTATGATTCATTCATTTCATTCACAGGGCCCAGTTATTCGAAGGCCAATTAGCGCTAAACCAAGGCTAAATTTTAATTCGGATTTCTTTTTCTTTTGATCAAAAGCATTTTCCCGAATAATTTTATCTATTCTTTTGAGAGCATCCAATCATAAAATTATAAACGAAATTTATAAACTGAATTTGATTTTTAAGTTTTCGTATCTGAATTCAAATTTCCTACTTACCCTGGGTTGTCTTAATCCAGCTTTGAACATCCCTGCCAGATTACATTAATGCTGTCTTTTTTTTACTGGAATTTTTCACTCTGATTTTGTCGTATTGTACCACATAGATGGATGTTCGAAATCGCTAGGAAGAGATCGCCCACCTTAGAGCATCAATGAGTACATTAAGAGACGACCTGGATCAACAGAGTAGACTTAATGTTTGTTTAAAGGAAAGAAAGGTAAGATGATTGTTCACTTTATACACTTTTTGTACTAAACGTGCAAGAACCAAATAACCACCTTGACTGATAGTTTTACTTCTATTCTACCTGTGACCACAGGTTACCAAAGCTCACAACATGAAGAGCCCTTAAGCAACACTTCCTTACAAAGCTAATTAATAATGGTTTATAACATAGCGCGCGTGCTTGCCCTATATAAGTCCCATTGAGCCGCTATGAACAAAATCTTTATTTACACACGCCCGTGCGTAAATAAGATGACGTAAGCATTTTGTTTTACCTGGCTGCAGAGTTGTCGTCTTTTAAGCTGCAGTGCAGTTTTCCTTCTCTTTAAAATATGGAAGAAACCAGCGAAGAACTGCCCAATTTTTCTATCGGCATTGACCTTTTAGGTCCTGATCCAACAAGCAGCAAAAATAGAGCCGAATTGAAAAAACTCGCATGTTGCGCGTTTCGCAAATTTGTCGAAAGACCAGCTGCAGCAAATTTTGGCCGAAAGACATTCACTGGGAACAGAACAGACACCAACTGGTCATCAACAACATTAAGAGGTTAAATTTCCGTTTTTATTGTTGTTTTTAAATTTGTTATGCACTTTTGTTATCTCCGGACAATCCGACTGAAGCAGGAAGATTTCTCTCGCAATAACAACACAAATTACACAAGAAGACATAAATTTATTACTCACAAAAACAACTGCTGCCAGGTCTTCTCAAGAAGCCGTAATGACCAGCTAATGTTGTAAATGAATATGAGTTTAAAGAAGGATGACAGTCGTCTTCGCTAAAAACATGTTTTCTGGATTTCGCCGAGCAAAACGTAAACATCTTTTCAGCAAATCCAAACCATACTCCACGACTTCTTACGAACATGTTAGTATTTTAACTTTAGGTGAACTTTAAGACTCTTTTACCTTTGTTTCTGCTTAGTTTCCATTGATCGTTAACGAATAAAGAAGCAAATTTTCTTTCTCAGTTTTACAGAAAAGCTACAGAAAGAATATTTTCATTCAAACTAGATGATTGTGGTGTGTTCGTAATCAGCCAATAGAAGCGTTTGTTATTGTGTAGCGCGTTACGAGAATTTTGTAGTTAATCAAAAAGCAAGCATTTTTGTCAGCTATGTTATAAAAGAATTTGCTCATGCTTTTAGCTGTGCGTATATCGAGTTATGGATGCACTTGGGAAGTTTGGAGAGCACTCAAGAAGCTAGAGTTGCACTCGGCTATCGCCTCGTACAACTCTTACGCATCTTTCGTGCTCTCCAAACTTCCCGCGTGCATCCATAACTCGATATACGCACGCTAAGCATGAACAAATTCTTAAATTAAATAGGACTGAGTGGAGTCCAATTCGGTCGTTAGTCATACGAGTGATAAACCTTATTTGTTTAATCATGAGTATGATTACAGACCGAATTGGACGTCACGAAGTTCTGTTATCAATTAATCATGACTGTAACAAAACTTGTGATTTTTTAGGGTTTTTTTAATCAAATCACAAGAAATTCCGAGAGTTTTTTTGCTAGCAGTTACAAAAAAAGGCCATTTAAGCGCGCGCGTGATGGCGTGTACTGTCCAATTACTTAGGCATGACGCGTACTGTGCTATTAGTGCTGAAATCAGCACAATTGATAGCCAATCTTTTTTGAGAACGGCGGGGCTAGAATACAGGTCATTTTTCCACAGGTCTGAGTACAGGTCCCAATGATACAGATAAACAAACAGCATTAAAAGTGTCTCCTAGCCCTAATTTCTTAACAAATTGCTCTATAAGATCCAGGGGAATCCATGTGGTTTGGTAATTCTTGACTTGTGGAACGTTGCCTGACTTTAGACCCGGCAGGCTGCATTCACAGGCTAGAAAACTGCCCGTGATAGGAAAACTAAAGGTGGTCTCATTTATTCTCGTATCAGATCTACTCACTTAAAACACAGAGAGTTTTGAAATGTTTGTGAAAGAACCTTGTCGGTAAAAATCAACTAACTTTGTTGGCTTTTTTACTTGTGGCCAGAAATTCGCCATGGATATGGATGAGCGTGATACAAAGAGACAAACACATAGCTGTTATATGGACGAACACACCAGATACAAGGTGCTGAATGATAAGTATACTATATAATATACAGTAAATATTGTTTCACTGTCCATGCACTTGTTAGTTGTGGGAAAGTTCCCTTTCGTAAACTGTTGCTGCCATTTTTAAGACACTTGTTAGAACATTTTTGACCCGTGATTGAGAGTGTTTCTATTAACAAGAAGGTCAATCGTAACCCAGGGTCGAACCCAGACCTTTCCTATCCTAATCCCTTCTCCCTTACCACTACACTGCAACACCGACCCGACAAAATTTGGAAAAATTTAAGTACATAAACTAGTAAACTGTCTTTCTTAAAACTGATACATCAATAATAGGTGACCCTAGCCTTTTCCAAATCTTTTTCTCCAACGACGTTCTTTCTACGACTATTCAAAAACGTAATATATAGATTTAACCAGGGCTAAAAGCGAAGCGCTCGTTAGTATAATTTTTGCCCCATTAAAATTTTATTACTGTATATTTGTTATTATTGTATATTACGACATAATAGCCCCGTATAGAGGAGCCGTAATAAAGTGTATGTTATGTTATGTTATGAGTTACTCAAACAAACAAATACAATCATGTAACGCTAAACGGTGACGGCAACGAGAACGACAAAAAATATCAATTGTTCTTATTAGCAAAAAAAAAAAAGCTTTGCAAATGCGGCACGCTTTTTTGTACATTTCTTTGACGTTGTTTTGCACGATGACAACGTGAAACATCCCAGTTACACATCTTACATAGGAAATGTCGTATATGTTCACCAAAATTGTTGTTGCTTGTGTCCTTGTTCGCTTTTTTTTTCACTGCCGCTCATTTTCACCTTGCTGGCCGCTAGAATTTCTCATTTTCTCGAAATTCGTCTCTTTTGTTCTGTATCTAACGCTTTACCTCTTTCCCTGTTATCCATGCCAGTAAAGACAAAAAAATGTAGTCAGACTCGACTTTGTTGTTGTTTTTTCTCTCTAAGAAGTCCGGGTGGCCATGCGATTTCCCGCCAAGAAAATCTTGTGTTGCATTTGGGTTGCTATACCTGTTGATTGAGTTATTTTACATCGGTGTACCTGTGGTGCGGACGGAATACGTACGGTCACGTTATTTCCAAATTTTCTCGGGTGCATAGATAACCAAATTTTCTTACTCATAGTGCTCGGCTGCGCGCTAGACGTTTCACAGTCCCCTGTTTTCCCGTAAGATCGTCTAGATCGAGCGCTTTGCTTTACGATCGGCCATCTTGCATGAGTGTCAAAACTACTTAGGGGGCGGGGGGGTGGTTTGGGAGGAAGCGAGAAAAATAGGGGGACTGTAATAACATCACTGCAGCTCGCGTTCACGGAGCGCGTTGTACCAGCAACGCAGACGTTTGATTGGTCATTAAACAATAGATGTTAATTTGCGTTGACAACGGGTCTAGTTTAAGTTGCCGACACTGACAAGTCGTTGACAAGTCGTCGTTTCTTTTAAACGTACGCTTTCATAACACATAAGACACATCTTGCCCAAACACACGAAGGATTTTTTGTATTTTGCGGATGAATCACGTAAGCCAACATGCTTTTGAAGCAGCCCGGCCCGTGATGTTATTACAGTCCCCCTATTTTTCTCGCTTCCTCCCAAACCGCCCCCGCCCCCCGTAGTAGTTTTGACACTCATGCAAGATGGCAGCCCGTAACGCAAAACACTCGATCTCGACGATCTTACGGGAAAATAGGTGATTGTGAACGGTCTACTGCGCTCGCTCTCCTATATTACTGGCCTTATAGTAGATGTAATATATTCCCTGGATTAATTAAGTTATGTTACCAATTGTGGCGTCGACCGTTAAAAATGGCAACGACCGTAACGAAAACGAAATAGGCGTCGTCGTGATTTATTACCTTTAGTGAATGATTATGGAGATGAGTCAGATGCCAAGACAAAGCATCTATAATTCTTATTCTGCCTCAGCCTTCGCCTCAATTAATAACACTTACCTCGACCTTGATTATTCCTAACATCACACGAACCTCATCCAATAATTGTTTATATAGGGATTACTTCATGGTTGGTTCGCTTGTACGATTTTTATTCACGAGTTGTGAAGAATCGCAAACGAACGAGTGAGCGCAGCGAACGAGTGAGTTTGCGATTCTTCACAACTCGTGAATAAAAATCGTACAAGCGAACCAACCATGAAGTTATTTGTTTATTTTATAAGTACTGAGATTTCTTTCATGTTCATGTTTTTACTCATCGTCACTGTCCTCCACTGTCACTGCTATCGAAGCGTTTGGCCTGTTTCCTTTTCCTCTCTTCAATAACTCTTTCCGTTTGGACAGGAGGACTTTTCTTGTTTTCTCAAATACGAGGTCATTCATGATACTGGCAGAGTAGCTGTTCTTTTTTAGATGTGGTTCAAAACTAGCCAATAGACTTCGGACCGAAGAAGGCTCTTAGTCTTTCCGATCTTTGGTTCTGACCGAAATGATAAACTCGCAGATGTATTCGTTTAACTCCAATGCTGGAATTTCTTCAACTTTTCTAAGTTCATTCCTGGTTCCTAAAAAGGTTTGTAAAAGTGGTACCTCTCGTTGTGTTTTTGCAATGTGGCTTTGTTTTCTTGTTCTGTAATAAAATTGTCAACTGAACCGACGTC